TTCCCACCAAGAGTACACAAGTGTTCCTTTCCCTGCCCACATTCTTGTCAACATTTGTTTCTTGTGTTTTTTGGTTTAGCCATTCTGATGGGTGTGAGGTGACATCTCATGGTAGTTTTGATTTGCAATTCTCTGATGATGAGTGATGTTGAGCATCTTTTCATGTGCCTGTGAAGTCTGTATGTCTTCTTTGGAAAAATGTCTCTTTGGGTCCTCTGCCCATTTTTTAATTGAATCCGTTTAGTTGTTGTTTTTTTTTTAAATACTTTATTTATTTGACAGAGAGAGAGAGAGCACAAGCAGAGGGAGAAGCAGACAGAGGAAGAGGGAGAAGCAGGCTCCCCACTGAGCAAGGGAGCCCACGTGGGGTTTGATCCTAGGACCCTGGGCCCATGACCTGAGCCCAAGGCAGACGCCTAATGACTGAGCCACCCAGGAGCCCTGAATTAGTTTTTCACCCCCCCTTTGGTGTTAAGTCTATAAATTCTTTATATATTTTGGATATTAACCCCTTATCAGATATATCATTTGCAAATAACTTCTCACATTTCATAGGCTGCCTTTTTGTTTTGTTGATGGTTTCCTGTGTAAAGACTTTAGTTTGGTGTGGTTCCCTTCGTTTATTTTTGCTTTTTTGTTTTTCTTGCCCAAGGAGACATATCTGAAAAATGTTGCTAAGGCTGACGTCCAAGAGATTTGACTGCTGACTACCTATGTTTTCTTCTAGATTTATGGCTTCAGGTCTCATATTTAGACTTTTTTTTTTTTTTAAGATTTTATTTATTTGACAGAGAGAGAGATCACAAGTAGGCAGAGAGGCAGGCAGAGAGAGAGAGAGGGAAGCAGGCTCCCCGCTGAGCAGAGAGCCTGATGCGGGGCTTGATCCCAGAACCCTGGGATCACGACCGGAGCTGAAGGCAGAGGCTCTAACCCACTGAGCCACCCAGGTGCCCCTCACATTTAGACTTTTAATCCATTTTGAGTTTATTTTTGTGTATCATGTAAGAAAGTGGTTCAGATTCAATTTTTTTGTATGTAGCTGTCCAGTTTTCCCAGCATCATATAACAGAATTTTTTAAACTAGTAACTTATACACCTTACTTGAGTGACTCTTGGTTTATAAAGTATGTTTGTCCTTCATTTTACCCCAGTCCACCCTCCAGGGACTGAGGGCAGTCCTTGGCCAGGTGAGGTCAACTGACCAATACCAACCAAATGTTTCAATTCTTACTCTGAGTTTTGGCTTCTATATTTTTTTCTTTATTATCAATTGGTATAAAGTTTTGGGGGAGGGTAAGATTTTTTTCCTTGGGAGAAATGAGTATCTGTACTTCACCTACTTCTCCCATATGACTTATGCTGTCCTTTCAGTACTATTTTGCTAGAACAGTTTGCATCCTAGTACAGATAGACTGAATAAAGAAAGTTGATACAAGTTTGAAGTAAACTTTTGGGGGTGCCTGGGTGGCTCAGTTGTTAAGCATCTGCCTTCAGCTCAGGTCATGATCTCAGTGTCCTGGGATCAAGCCCCGCGTTAGGCTCTTTGCTCAGCGGGAAGCCTGCTTCTCCCTCTCTCACCAACCCCCCCCTTTTGTTCCCTCTCTCGCTATCTCTCTCTGTCAAATAAATAAATAAAATCTTTAAAAAAAAAAAAAAGAAGTGTGTTTGGAGAGAGAAAACCTAATGCAATATATTTCAAACTGTAGATCTTGACTCAGGAGAGGTCATGAATCTTTAGTGAAATCACCATTAGCACTTCAAAATAACCGTGCCACACTTGGTAAGGAAAGCATTTTTGTGTGTGAAATTATAAATGTGCATACACACATATCAAAATTTTATATATATATATATATATATATACACACACACACACACACACACACACATTGATGTATGTATGTATACATGTGCTGGCTTGCAATATAAAATGTTATTTCTTACTAAGTGTTACAGTTGAAATGGTTTGTAAAATGTGTGTTAATGATTTTCACTGAATTTTGTTTGCCTCTGCAACTTAGATCATCAGGTCTCCTAGATAATCAAATTAAAAAACAAAACCAACCAAACAGGACCTTGTTCTCTTCTTGAACATCTTCTGAGCAACCACTACATAAAGATTCGTGGGTAAATGTTACTACTCTCAAACCTACAACCTCTTCAGGGGAAACAACTGAACAGTATGAAAGTTAGAATAAAAAATATTGAAAGGTGAAAGTAACATGTTAGGATGGTAGGGTGATTTACTCTGGCCAGGTTATCAGAAGGCTTTGTGCAGCCATTAGGCCCCAAAAGTCAGCAGTGGGAAGACTGGCAAGTAAGGTTTTAGAAGTATGCTATTTTGAGGACCATATAGTTGGAAAGATAATTTTTAGAACATGTGCTTTAAAAGCAGTAAATTTTATTTTGCCTTAATAGCTTCGTGCATTGGGATCCATAAAGCACCTGCTAATTTACTTTAAAACATTTCAGCATGGAAAAAAAAAAAAGTATTTCAGCATAGTGTGATAATTCTGTTAGAAGTTCTAGAACCCCTTCTGTTATCCATAGCTCAATATATACAGAAGGCTTTTCTAATTAGCTTAATGTCAAATGTGTTTCTATTGGAGCCATGAATGGCTAGCTAATAATCTAAATGATGTAGACACAGGTTATTTGCGAATTTAGTACTAGTATTCAAGATACGTGGATTGGCTAAAAAACACATCACTGTTAAATTAACAGGAATGTAATACTCTATAACTTGTACTTTTGTGGACAGTACCCAAGGCCTGCTTGCTAAATGCACCTCTGTTCAGCCATTAGTAGAGAATTCTGGTTGCCTTTTGTGGGCAAGTGAGATTTTGCCCCTGTACTCAAGGAAGATGACACCATGTGATACTGCTTGCTAATGTTTAATATTTGTGATACAAATTGAGTCTCTCTCTCTGATAAATAAATAAAATCTTTAAAAAAAAAATTGAGTATGAGCTTTGCTTTCATATTAAGCAGATACTGGATACCAGTATCTACTAAAAAGAGTCTGGGTGGTAAATGACCAAATTGGCTATCAGTTTTTTGAGAAATAACTAAGGTTATCTTGAGTTACTCCCCAATAATACCAATCAACACCTATTTAGCAAAGCAAGTTTATTTGATTACTTATTCCAGATAAGCGAGGCTTGTGTGTACAACTAAGACAATCCAAATAAAAGGCAGGAAATATTAATATGAACTACACACAGAACTATCTAGAAAGGAACAGCGGCTGCAGCATTCATTTTACATAATACTGTGGAGTGATGTAGCACCATGTACCTCAAAGATCTCCCAAGTACTTTATAAAGTAATTTCATAAGTCTTTGCTAAAACGCAGCAGTAGCTTAAAAACTGTAGTAAGTCTGATGATATTCTGTTTAACCTCAAATATAAAATCTTATCAGAAAAATCCAGAAAAATCTGGGAATTTGGGAAGGATCTGATCTTGTACAATTCTTTTAAAAAAATTCAAAGGAATTTATTAAGACCTGTTTTCTTTCATCATTTGCACTACTTACCACTATCATCATGACCTAAATTCTAAGTTCTGGGAGATTTAATAGGTAGTTATGTACACACACACACACACACACACACACACGCACCATTTTTTAAAACTAAAGTTCTATTTATTGGTCTGTTCAATCTGTTCTGCTCTAAACCATAAACATGAAGGAATAAGAGAGAACTTTAATGCTACTGAAATAAAAGGATTAAGATCCTTAATGATTCTAATTATCATTCTAAACTATTCTAGGCTGGTCAATCTTAGGCTGAAATTTGTTCAAGTTTGACCCTGTTAATCTAAGTAAACATGAGGACATTTACAAATTCAATAGTATTTTTTAAAATACTGATTAAGGTTCATCTGTAATATATAAAGAAACTCAAGAGAGAAATTTGGTGTTCCAGAATCCTCTAACAGCCCACTTTACTAGTTAGAGCCATAGTATATTTTTAGAAATGTACCACAGAAAAATCTTATGGAAAAAACCTCGGAGTCTGGGATTATTCAATCTTGCAAAGCTATGGAATCTAACAATGCCCCATCACCCCCACCCCTTTTTTTAAAGGGTCATGAACCACTTTGAAAAGCGGATGAAATTTATGAATCTCCCTCCCCACAAAAATGCATATAAACTAAAATTTCTTATATACATTTAAAAAAGATTCCTCCCAAAGGCCCATGATCCCCAAGTTAGGAATTCCTACTTCAAAGCTGAGGAACACAGAATAAGGTTAGCCCAAGTGGCCACTGTCCATCTTCACTTTATTGCTACTATAGTCAAGTAAGCATTTTTAATAATGTTACTAGTTTGTTGCCTTAAGACACTCATTGTAAGCACCAATAGTCTTTTAAAATTCATTCTGCTGTCCCAGTTTTACAAGGTTTTAAGCCAGGTACCCCCTCAAATGAGTTAAGTCCCTCAGATTTAAGCTAGCAGACAATTATTTTCCTCTGATATACACTATTCTTCAGAGCCAGTCCTGAACTCTAAGATTAAAATTTAATACCCTCATGAAAATGAACATGTCTACATATTGGAAATTATTTTGACTTTATAAAATATATTTCTAGGTATAGTTTCAAACTTGAAGTCACATTTATTTAGTGCCTCTGAACATAATATACAATCCCAGAGCCCCTTTATTTACTTGGAACCAATACAGTGGAGCTCTCCTACTACGGTCACAAAATGTACTGAAAGTCCTACCTCCTGTTTAGGATAGGAAACACTTCATTTCTGACCAAACCCACCATCTCAAAAGCCTCTCATCAACTCCCCAGTTACCAAACAGGTTGAAGAATGAGATCTTTGAGGTGTCTAACATAGAACCATTTGGCTAGGTTTCAAACCCATGCTGAATGGACCTTTAAAACAAGAGAAAATGGCGATACTGGGGTTTTGGGTTAGGCTTGTAGCTTTCTTATTAAACACTCTAAAGAATTTGTTAAAAAAAAAAAAAAAAAGGGAGGGTAAACATGAGAATTTCTTAGAGACCCTGAAGACTGATAATCAAAGGGGAAAATAGGTAGATGTTAAACACAGAAATGCAAACATATCACATATATAAAATTTACTCCAATCTTAAGAATTTTTCAAAGTCTGAAGTCAGGTGGCAGTTATTAGTCCTTTCATAACCATTTACTTTTGCTCAAGGAGTATTTATGGAATAAATATCAGAATATCTGAATAGAGGAAAAGAGTCAGCTAAAAGAGCTTTCCAAGTGAGCTACATTTTGACTTACAGGATTTCATTCTTGTCTTTTGCTATGTAAAAAGTGAATAATGGAACAATCATTACTTCTTCCTTGCTCTTCTAAGTTTTCCTTTTAAGAGTTAAAAGCTAGAATTTCCATTTCAGCAACCTAGGGATCAGGAACAGGTAAGGGGGAAGGCTATTGCTCTATCAGAATTCCAAGCATTTCAACTGAGTGGTAAGGGGCCTGCAAGAGATTACAGATTATTACTCCTTGGGCTAAGTGAGTCCCACAAATCCTATAAAATATATAACCAAGTAATTTCCCTGCACTATTCAAATGTACCATTTTGTGTCTTTCCTACCAGAACCTATTATTGCCGAGTGACAGCTGAAGAAGGTAATAAATACTAGCATTCCTGGCTGTGCAATCTATACATTTAAGAATAATTCAAGCATAATCCATATTTAAAAAATTAGACTAAAGAGAGACAGTAAAGGTTTTAAAGTTTTCTCTTTGAAAAGATGGTATCTTACAGTACATACAAAAATACTCTGAAAATACATACGACTTCATTTACAAAACACTGAATCAACATATTACAAGAATTACATGGTTATGGATTTTAATAAACTGAGCATGCGTTCATGAAACTTAAAAAATATTAAGAAATGCATTGAAAAAGCAGTGTAAAAAAAGACAACTCATATAGTTAAATAAAAATTACAAAGGTCCTGAGCCAATTAATGGTTGGTAACAATGTCATTCAAAAATGCCTTTAGGTTTCAGTAAAATCCACTGCTTATTTCTGCATGCCTAGTCCATGAAGAAACTGTTTGAAGTTGTGGGGTAAGTAATGGTCAAGAATTACCATGCCAAGTTATTTTTACACCTTAAAAATACAAGCTTGCCATACTTCAAGGTATCTTATTGTTGGTGCTGGAATGAGTTGCTCCTCAGTAAAAAATACCAGTCAACTAACAAGAATGGCATGAGCTAGGATATGTAACAATTTTACCATTCATATACTGACTTTCAGTATCTTGGTTATATTCTGATTCTTTATAAAGATGCATTTCAAAGGCCTCCATGGGAGGCAAAATATAGAGAATTTATGGTGCCCAACTCTTATGTAATCACTGGACTAATCCTCCCTGGTAACTATGCAACACTTGGACAGAAAGGCACAAAAAAAAAAAATAGAAATTTAAATATTCCATGTGCCATTCTGGAAAAAAAAATAATTTAAATCAACAGAATAGACAATAAGTACATCTACACAAACGAGAAAAGCAGAAAAGATACCTCACATTCATTTATCTCAGGTTTCACAAAGTGGCTTCAATGCTAAAGTAAATGTATTAACATTTGGAAAATTACAAGACAATTTTTTTTGTTTTGTTTTCAACTTTTTCAGTACTATACAATGATTATAACATAAGACTTAAAAAAAAAAAAAAAAAAGAAAGAAAGAAAGAAAGAAAAAGTTCAGGACTTGTTTTATCCGTGTCCAAAGAGCCAAGAACTGGTTCCCACAACAGAGAAACAAGCATCGAAAGTTAAGGCAGTAAAACCTCCAACGCAAAGCCGTAATATTGTAGATGACAATTTGATAGCAGGTGATCCTCACAGAAGTGCATGTAGCAATCAATGAGAGAATGCTACGGCATCTGCAGGTCAAAGTGTGAGAGTTCAAAAACCACTTCAAGGTCGTTAGTCCGATGACTGAAAATTTCACCTTATTTTATGTACGACAGCCACATCTATTTTAAAGAGTGGCTGCATCTATGCCACTAAATGATTGCATATTCACTTAAGTAAGGAGGCACTGCTTTTACCGATTAAGGGTCAGTCGAATGGAATTTTTGATGACTCGGATGTTATTTGCTGGAACCGGAGATGATGAATCTGGTAGTTCTTTACTGGGTAGTCTCTATTAGAAAAGGATAGAAACAAAGAAGAAAAAGCAAATATATATTATCAAGTCCCAACTAGTAAATCAGTCACAAAACTGAGTTTTCCTCCATATCCCTTAGGCTCTTAAACACTCACGTATGTGTTGGATATTTTCTTCCAACATTCACAGACACTTCCTTGTTTTGGGGACTTTTTTTTAATAGAGTTGGAGGTGAAGAGCAGATGTACAGAGAAAAGGTGCAAGTGGCAGGAGTGTATGTATAGGAAAAAGAACTTTGTTAAATTACTTGCCCCTTCTGGATTGAGAAATGCAAAAGAACATGATCCTCCTCAAAGAGCAGGGTCACTAAGCAGGAAACTCTTGGGGTGCTAAGTGAAATATGGGGTATTACAGAGGAAAACTGGATATCCAGTTAGTTTCTATAATACATTCATGGAGAAAAACACTGTAAACCCTACTTGTGAGATACTTAAGTTTTCAGGACTTTGTAGCCAGACCAGGTTTTTTCTGGGATGGTGAAATTCAGAGGCATCTAGATGAGGGGGTCGAGGATACTAAAGATGATTACACAATGAAGGCCAATGCTGAGAGACAGAGACCTCTAAATACAGAGTGTGTGATGGCAGCAATATGTGAGTTAATTCCCCTCCTATGTTACATTAGCTAAATCTACATCCTACCCACATCCATTCAAAAAACATGAAAAATGTCTGACATACATAAAAGAGAAGAGGACAATGAAGACTTCAATATCACAACCAAGACTCAGACATTAAGATTTTGCTACATTTGTTGGGTTTATATCCTTGCCCTTTATACTGGAAATATTTTAAAGCCAGACCGAGGCATGTTATTTCATGCTTTTGTACTTAATACCCACATCAAACTTTCTTCTTCCATTATATATAATTACACATCCATTTTTTTTGTAATCTACTCTTTATGTTAAAAGAAATTTTATGACTTCTACAACTATTAGGAAGTATGATACTTTGTTTGTTTTAAAATGGCCAATACATGGGGTGTCTGGATGGCTCAGTGGGTTACAGCCTCTGCCTTCCGCTCAGGTCATGATCCCAGGGTTCTGGGTTCGAGCCCCGCGTTGGGCTCTCTGCTCAGCAGGGAGCCTGCTTCCCTTCCTCTCTCTGCCTGCCTCTCTGTCTACTTGTAATCTCTGTCAAATAAATAAAATCTTAAAAAAAAATAAAAAATAAAAAAAATAAAATGGCCGATACATCGTGAGGTACCTGGCAGGGTGAAAGTTGACTGTTGCCAAATACTTTACTCTTTAACGGGGTGAAAACAAGCCATTTTTTTTTCACTGTAAACTCTCAGAGAAGGGCTGTTTCTGAATACATACACACACACGGCTGATTTTTGAGCACCTGCTTATTAACTTACCATGCTTAATAATAGCATGTTATTAGTTTCAGTGGTAATTCTTTGAAAAATAAGTTTTTAAATTGAGATTTAGGGACTCTTTAGCTCATGTTTTAAAGATACTTACTATGAATACTAATACATTTGGCTCTTCCAAAATATTAATAAGTACCAAGCCTAAGTTTTAATAGTAAGCAGTGATGTACAATAAAAATATACTATCAAGTGTTGGTAAGCAATTACTATGCTGAGCACTAAACTTCTTTAAAAAAACAAACAAAGGCTACACATAATCTGAGTAAGTAATAAAGTCTTAAACTACCTCCTCTTTTCCTCCCTTCTGAGATACATATATTTAATGACCAGACACTGTTTGCTACTTCCACCCCAACTCCCAACTATATGCTGATCTTTGAGGACAGGGACAAAATCTTATCCTGTTGTTTCACTCAGTACAAGGATCATAAGCTTTTTGTACCTGTAGATACATTACCTATGAATAAGACTTTGTTACCTTTTTGCGAGATGTATCAATTGTTGGAATAGGCATACATTCTCCTCCAATGGCATCCTAAAAACAGAATTATATTCAAATGTAAACTTTCTTTCCTTTGGACGCTTATTTCTACCCACAAAAAAACACAACCCAAACTTCACAGGCCTATCTGATCCACTTTCAAATACAGTACTTTTCCTGATACATAGCTCTCTGAAAGTAATATTTTGAGGCACATTAATACATTTACCATTGCTTTTCTTTTTCTATCTTCAGGAGCACGTGATTCCTTAAACGTTGATTCAAGCCGAATAAACTAGAATATAAACATTAAGATGAATTGCTATTATTACCTACAAAAACCATATAATCTATGTAAACTGAGAAACTAGTGATAAGGCTTTCGTCAAAAATATTGCAAACAAGGGTTGGTGAGGGAAAAGAATTTAAATTAGACTAAATTCAGCTGCTACCATTAACTTCTGGAGTGATATTTTTGGTTAACTCAAAGCAGATGGTAACATAGTAGTCTTACCACCACCTACTGGAGGCAGAAGACCTCAACATTTTAACACCTAATAAATATCATTAGTTACCAACAGTGGCCTCTGGGTAAGTCAAGGAGAAACTCAGACTAATCAGTCAAGTTTTCAGATCTATTACTAATTTCAATTTAGGACGAACAATCACTATTATTCCTTTAGGGTTTGGGCAAATATTCTTTTTAAACAGTCCTAAGGAGCACTAAGATATGGAGAATTGTGAATTTCTCTAGTGCTAGTTTAACTTCAAACAAACAATAAAAGAACTACAGAATTATCGTAACTAAGGTTGTAGCTTTACCTTTTCTATATCTTTCAACCTCTTAGAAGACCCATCTATGGATGGGGAATGGGATCTCTTGTGTGTAACATTCTTAGCTGACATTCCATTAAGATGTGGTTGTCCCTGGGCAGGGTTGTGGGGTGTCGGGATTCTAGGAATGACATTTCGTCCCACTACAGTAGGAATGGTGCACACAGCTGGGGGTGATACAGCTTTTACTGCAGAATCAACTTCTGAAAAGGAAAGAAAAATTCTAGTCATTAAATGTATATGTAGTAGTAAAATAATTACTAACACAAGTACAGATACCTACTTGCACCAATGACTGGGATAGATAGTCCTTGTGCTGGGGGGACACTCAGTGGCTTTTCCACAATGACAGCAGCAGGCTCAGCATTACTCCTATTAAAAGTTTTGAATTATTGAATAATCTGTTACTTATTGAAAACACTCAACATTCAGGATTATTTCTTCAAGTACTTGCACCTTAACATTTCATTGGAGGATGAGAAAAGGGGAAGAAAGGCAGAGGACCAAGTAAAAAGTGAGAAAAGAGAAAAACCTGTGCATTTCTGTGTACTGATAATCCTACATCTTCATAAGCCTACCCCATGTCCCAAGGATTACAACAAATTGCCAAGTATTTCTAGTTAGAAAATGACTAGCATTTGGTAAAATAAAATATATTAACAAGATATTTAGCTAAAGGTACAGAAAAGTTTACATCATCCCCAAACTGAAGACGGAAAATTCTGAAAGACAGACCTTTCTGTTTCTCCTGAAGGAGGAATGTCAGGCTTGGAAGGTTTGTTTGTAGACACTGGGGAATTAAAAGGTGTTCCATTATCAGTGTCCCTGGAGCTATCCAAACAATTGCTATCTAGAGATGATCTTTTGGATTGTGGTCCACTTGAACTTCGACTAACATCAGAAAGACTTTGCTGGAAGAGGGGAAAGCAGTTAGGATTTCAAAAAGCAAATGAAAATAATTAGTGGTTTCAATTCAGAAGTACATAAAATGAATTATCTTTTGTGACTAATAAAGGAGGGATTTTAGGTCTTGATTGAATAGTACCTTTCTTTCCTTTTTTCTCAATAGGTTTGGGAGGCTGTTATAAATGCAAATCTGGTCCTAGGATCATGCGTCTGAGTGGAACCATACACTGGAAAGTTAAGATTACAAACTCACCTTTTTCTTCTTTTGAAGAATCTCTGCTGGAAGGTAGTGATGAAGCTGCTTTTTTTTAACATGAGTTGCTTCAATTTTCATTCCTTCCTTTAGCATGTTTATATTATTTGCCTGTCTGTACACTGTAACAATGTTAATATGTTAAATGGGCAAGTTCTTCCTGAACCAAGAGGTTTCTTTCTCTAAAATGCATTTGGTATCTCCCCATTATCTCACAAACACACATACCCAACCTGCTTATAGAACAACTATTTCTCAAACATTTTCACCATATCCCAATCCTATTTAAGTACCAATTAGGGGCGCCTGGGTGGCTTAGCTGGTTAAGCATCCAATCTTTCAGCTTGGGTCATGATCTGAGGGTCCTAAGATTGAGCTTGTGTTGGGTGTGGAGCCTGCTTAAGATTCTCTCTCCCTCCCTGCTCCCTGCTAGTGCACATGTGCATGTAAGCGTGCTCTCTCTCTCTCTAAAGAAATAAAGTCTTAGAAAAAAAAAAGTACCAACTAGTTTTCTCATGTCCAACTTCTAAAATTTTCCAGTAATTCAATCTCATTAACAAAATAAACCCATGAATTTCTTCCAAATCCTGTTTTCTTTTTTCCCAAAAAGCAACCTCTTTCTCATAATTACTTGCCCAAGTCTAAGCTAATCCTTACACTAAATATCCAAGATGCAATTTGAGCTCTTCTCCTCCATGAAGCTTCTTTTACTACACTAATCAGGATGTCAGACTGTTAGGAACTACCTAGAAATACATCCTTATTATACAAGCAGGGAAATGAGGCTCAACAACCCTGAACAACTTACTGAGACTGAAACACACATTGACCTAGAGTGCCACTTCTAGTGCTTTTCAGATCTTGTAAGAAAAGTCAGTTTTACTAACACACAAATTATGTATGTATGTATGTATAATGTATGTTCAGCCATGAATACCAAATTAGATTATAAGCTTACTGAAGACACACATAAGAGGCTTCTTTTGCACAGTAACTACTGTGACATGTGGTAAATTATCTAATCTCTTGGGGGTCTCAGTTATCTTTAGTTTTCTAAATAAGAACATTCTATAAATCTATAATAAACAGAGCTTCCCAACCTCCTGCTTTTGGAAAAGTGAGCCCAAATTAGAATGGAAAATTTATGTTTGCATTCCAGATTGCGTATAAAAGCATCACCAGGAGTGCTTGTTCAACTTGAAGATTCTCTGGCTCCACTCCCAGAGTGGGGGACACAGTAGAGCTGATGTGATGTACAGGAATCTGCATTTTCATGATAAATGTGAAAGCTTTTAGAAGAATTTAGAAAACTCATATGAGCCAAGCCAAAAATATTAATAGTATGAATGTACACTATTCCAGATTAAGACAACTCCAAATTTATAACAGATACATTAAGATATTCCAGAAAGGTGTCATTAGGGAGCTACACGCGAAAGACACTCTTTCACTGATTCTGAAACATAATCAGCAAGCTGTACAACCATTAGTACATGTAATAAATACAAAAATCATCTTTATGATTGTGCTTCTATGTGTGCAGAATGAAAATAAAAATCACCTATATGGGGTTTTTTTTGTTGTTTGTTTTTAAATAGATAATACCATCATTTGGTACAAAACTCAAACAGTTCAGGGCACTGAGTGAAGTCTCCTCGCCCTATCCCCTAGACATACCTGGCCCCTTGACCTAAAGCAACCAGTTCTGCCAGCTTCTCTTTTAAAAACTATATATCCTTCCAGAGATATTCTATGTATTTATAAGCAAACATGCTCACACATATTTTTTTTTTTTTTTTTACTTATTTATAGAAATGGTAGTGCACCATACAGACTGTTTGGCAACATTCCCCCCACTTAATATCTTAGAGATAGTTTCACCATGCCTTTACTTTTTTAAATAGCAGCACAGGTTTTCATAATAGGGATGTACCATATTCACTTAACCAATGAAAAACAGAGCTAGCCAGGTCCATGGCAGATACAGCCGAGGTTGAGAACCACAGCTCCATGATGACAAAGTCTTACCTGTATCAGTAAATGACTGTATATCATAGGTCAAGTCTATGTTGACACTTTCTGCATTTTCTACTCTCCGAAAAATTATTCCAAGGAACCACATTGATATGTAATTGTTGCTATAAAATAAAAATTTTAAATTTGCATTAATTTTTTTTACAGTTTTGCAGATGTCATTTGGTAATTCAAACTTGGCACCATAAATACAAATTGTAATGGTTTGGCTAAATTCTTAAAACTGACCACAACAGCACCGATCAGTTATCCTGTGTTGTTATAAAGAGGATTAAACGGCTTTGTAAACTACATACTAAAATTCTACTTAAAGATGCTCCAAATTTTACGATGGAGTTTCTGCTGGGGTCTGTGGGCTATCAACACAGCATCTACTAGTTTTAATGCATGACCACTCATGGTCAAATAACGTATCATCCTCCCCCATCAATGCTTGTTAAATGACGATCTCACAACTGATCTTAAACAATGCATATTTTGTTAACATTATCTAAGAAATACAGTACTAAACAATAATTAATAATTAACTTACTCTTTATGATGTTCCTTATTTCCTGGGAATGACTGGGGATTTACATGGGCAAGAGTAATAAATTCATTTCGTTCCAAGTTTCCAACAAGCACACGAATTTTAGATTCCACTAATCCAACCCTGAAATAGAACAGTGAACAAAATTTTTCCTTTTAAATTTGGAAACTACATCTAAGTAACCCAAAAAGCATATTAGCTATGATGCTTTACATGTTCATTAAAAAAATTTAGTCCAATATATTATGGACTGTTTAAAATACCATTTAAGTAAATTACAAGTTACTTGGTCAATTTCTGTGTTTCCCCCTTCCACTTTTAAAAGAACTGCTCTATTCAGTGAATTCCCGATCTAAACTATCCTGCCTGTTAAGACCATAAAATAGTCATGATTGGAGCATGAACAAAAACTGTTGGTTAATCTGGCTCTAAATACTTTTTCACTTTCAAATTTTATGTCTATATGCTAAAACTAAGATATGTTTAAATAACATGGGGGGAAAAAAGCTCTAATAACTAGCACCTAATTCATGATACATGTGCACATATTTTCATAAAATTGGTACTAGATATTACACTTATAAAAGTTTCAGTAAAATCAGATCAGATACTACTAAAACATAGAAAGTTTCATCAGGTTTCTGCAACTTTGTTTCCTAAGTGGACTACTGTCAGTTATATTAATTTACAATGATTTCATTAATTAGAAAGAATAACTACAAGGACATTTTTACATTATTCAAACACTTGAAAAAGCCTATACATTGTAACTGTGTGTGCTTCAACAGCACATATATGGGATGTTGGGTTACTGCTCAGTGTTATCTAAATGAGAGGTTGGCAAACTTTCTAACAAGGGGCAGATAGTAAATATTTTAGGCTTTGTGGGCCAATTTCTGTTGCAACTATTCAACTCTGCCATATAGCAGGAAAGAGGCCAGACAATATACATATGAGTGAGCATGGCTCTATTTCAAGAAAACTTTAAAATTTTAAAAGTTCATTTATTTTTTATTTAGTGGTCTCTATACCTAACATGGGGCTCAAACTCACAACCCCAAAATCAAGAGTCACATGCTCATTCGACTGAGCCCTCTCAGGCGCCCCCTCAATAAAACTTTATTTTAAAAACATGTGGCAAACTAGATTTGGCCCAGACCATAGTTTCCCAATTTCCAATACAGACAAATGAAATATCCTTTTTTTTTTTTTTTTTAAGATTTTATTTATTTATTGAGAGTGAGAGCGCTGTATTCAAGTGGGGGAGAAGCAGAGGGAGAGAGATAAGCAGACTCCACACTGAGCATGGAGCCCAACCAGGGGCTTGATCCCATGACTCTGAGATCATGACCAGAGCCAAAACCAAGAATCAGAAGCTTAACCAACTAAGCCACCCAGGCACCCCTACAAATGAAATATTCCATTTTGGTGACAGGATTCTTTTCAGTGTCTCTTTAATTGCCAATAAAATAAGCACTAAACTTTGGAATCAAAAATAAAACAGTATCATGTTTCCCTTCCCAGAGGTCACACCTGAGGAAAGCAAAACCATTTCTGGTGGCCTAAAAGCTTCTGCCTGATGGAGTTAGGGATGTCAGTACACTGGAGGCAGAGGGAATGAATTTGGATTCACTAGAAATAATGCACTGCTGCTTGACCAAAAATGCTTCCCTTATCTGCTGACAGAAGTTTTCATGCCACTAATCTCCTAAATTAAAAGAATATAAAAAATGTATTTTCCTTCTAGTTTCGATGGGGAAATGTGATGGCAAGGATGGAAAAGTCAGTAAGAGGTAACAGATTCATTCGAAGTGCCTCACAATTTTGCTTAAATCTGACTGAGAAGTGGCAAAAGGCAAAGACTATACACATACCGTTATTTTATGTTACTTCTAAGTCTGAAACATTGATTTGACAGCATTTCTTAAACACTGATGCTGCACAGTCATGTAAACAATATGATTTAATAAGTTTAAGGATAAATGTTTTGTAAATGGTAAAACATCATAAAAATGTTATCACTACAAAGTAAGTACACAACTTGAATATCAGTCTTACCACTCTAGATGGTTTTCTTCTGTTGATGCACTGGCAGTCAATACTATATAATGTCTATGAAGAATTTTTAGCCATAATTGGAGGGGAAAAAAAGCCAGAAACATAGTTAGGGTCTGCTCTTCCATCATCACTTGTTCTTTCTTCCTCCCACTGAACAAAAGAACTAATGTACGCACACAGCTTATGAAAATTAGAACATGCTCTGATTTTCAAAAAATTAATTCTAGACCCTACAATTAAAAACGATTCACTAAAACAAACACCACTAATACTGGGTTAGATACTATTAGAATACACAAACTCAACATTTATGATTTCTGCTAACCTATTCTCTACCTCATTTGAAATATATGTGACCAAGTCACCCACCACATATTAACTTTGTAAGTTTAACATTCTTCTTTAAACACACACACACAAAATACAAAATTTCAAATACCTATACTTTTGAAAAAAATTTGGTGGCTCAAGTAGTTTGGACCAGTCTGATTTCCCTTGAAGGATTTCATCTGTGACTGCAAGACCTAAATTAAAAACAAGAGAGAGACTGATTTGGAAACGGGCTATTTTATTACCAGCTTCTGTATCACTCTATCCCAAAACCTCGAACTCTACCAGACTCTAAAGGGAAAAAAATATATATATATTTCTCAGAACACAAAAATCAATTTCAAACAGATTGGGCTGGCTCCATTTTGGACTTACTATATTTTGGAAAACCATTACTGGAAAAATAAATACATATTTGAAAGAATTTTTAGAAATAACAGGCATAACTGCACTTTAGAATAAAACTGTTGTAAATCAAAAACTTATGGGAAAGGGCCAACAGGTTTACCTTGTTTAAATTCTTCTACCATTACTGTTCGAGTTGAGGTGGACACATTATACGTAGAATTCTGCTGTGGGTAGGCAGGGGTGATTATGGGCATGAGATGATACCTATCTGATGGATTTACCTGTGAAATTAGAAGCAGAATAATTGATCTATTCTCCTATTTCAGTTGTCCTCACTTCATTTCCCCAAAAGTCTGAAGAATATGAAATATAAATTTAATACTACATTTCCCCAATTCTAAGAAGTACATTTTCCCTCCCCAACTACATTTATTTCTGAAGTCAGGTATGTCTGATATTCAAAGGCACCTCTGTAAAAGTGTATTTTTCCTCTGAAAAGCTGTTAAACTGATGGTGTATCTTATAAATAATGGTCTTTCAGAACCAAGAAAATACAGTATCATAGTTGCAAAAAGCATTATTAATCCAATGATTCTTAATCTTCTTTCTGCACCCACTCAATGGGCAACTCCCTATAAGTAACTCAGAGGAATGAGCACTCACTCTAAAAGCAAATGAAAATGCAAGGTGAGAGGTATGCTAGTTTAGAACCACGAGTCTGCTTTAAATTGCAGGGCAAAGTAAATCTTTTATATACTTCAGCACTTTATTAGTTATAACTAATTACTTATAAGAGTTTTTAACAATGGATTATGACATTTTGGTTGATACACCCACTCATCTACTTTTATATGGGTGATTTTTAATGACATAACATTTGGATCAGAATTTGAGATACAAATCACCTGCACCAAAAAACACAGCAGACAGAAAGAACTATAGCTATACAGAAGGAAGATGAGCAGGAATAAGAAGAATTATTTTTAGATTGCAATTTAGAGAATCATCCTTTACCTAGAAGGTTCAGTTTCAGTAATAAGTCACATACCCGAGGATCCCAAACAGGCAAATTTAAATTGCTTTCTTCTGGTTGCTTCAGCAGCACAGGATTTGGCCATTCCCTAACATAAATAAGACAAATTAATTCACACAGGATCTCACTTCAGGAACTCTATGAAATGTTAAAATCATCAGAATCGCTCTTAACTTCCATAGAGCAAACGGTGTGGATGGGTATTTGGTATTGAAAAAAAACAAACGGGCAAGGGAAGCAAGTATACAAAGTGGTTATATTTTAAATGTGTCTTCTGAAAGGGCAAATACTGTTTAGCTCATTAAGCTGTAATTAATTTGAATCTGAATTTTCCAGGGGCACCTCGGTGCCTCAGTCAATTAAGTGTCTGACTCTTGATTTTGGCTCAGGTCAGGTCATGATCTCAGGGTCATGAAATTGAGCCCATCAGGCTCTGCGCTGGGCATGGACACTGCTTAAGATTCCTTCTCTCCCTCTGCCCACTCCCCACTCTAAAATAGATAAATTAAAAAAAAAAAAATCTGAGTTTTCCCCTTCCTTCTATTTGCTCACATGGATTTAACTCTGATAACTTAATAGCAACAAGGACGAACTTTACTGAAAATACTAATAAATCCACATAGTAGCTATGATTATCACTTCCGTTTTACATATAAGACATTAATCTATATGTAGCTAGTCATCAGAGGCAAATAATTGCGACCACTCTCAAGCTAAAAGCCTACATTTACAGACCTCTCCCAACCCCAGGAGAAAGCGCCATGTGGTGTCTTATCATTGTCTCAAATTTGATGTCTTTAAACTTTTAACTTAAAAGGAATGGAAGACAAGAGAAAAAGTCTATGCATCTCTCTTAAATTGCTGAACAAATTTATGTAAAGGTAGAAACTAGTAATAAAGTATGCATATGAATACTTACCACTTAGAAAAAACTAAAAAGAACTTATGAACTAAAGTAGAAGCTGCTGCATTTGGGTATAATTGACAAGTTCTTGCAACTAGCATTGCCCAGGAGACACCACCAAGGAATCCCAGCATGTTGGAATAAATACCACGTCCTAGAAAATTAATATATTTGTTAATTATTGTTAGGATCTACCATCCATGACATTCAACTATAAGGAATGGGATAACTTAGTTCCTACAACTGTTCTTAGTTATCCTTTCCCCTCTGGAAATAACATTATACAATCAATAAGCAGACCTTTTATTAGTAAACTATAAGCTGCATCTTGTCCCCCTACTTCTCCAAAACAGACACCTCAGTTCCCTGCCTCAGTTCTGACTGCCGAACCAGGCTCTACTGATATAACACTGGAATTTCCCCCTTTTCAATAGCTATGGTTGAGAAAGAAATGAAAGGAAGGAGGAAAGATATCTAGAGGGTTTATAAGTAGAAAGAATAAACATTTCATTAGTAATCATATTCATGGGCATTTTAAAATCAAGTGTAAAGCTGGACTACAGTATTTTGCAGAATTTCAATCTCTCTCCATAAAGTACAATATACCATTGATATTAGTCATTTCTCTTAAATTGTTTCTTAGAGCAATCTATAAAAAAGTATTACCATATTTCATCAAACCTATTGGGTACTCAATTACATAATACAGCATTATTTTATGTCCCACTAGTCAAGAAAGAAAGATACAAAATGTCAATTTCAGATATGTTAAAGTATGTAAAATATGCATCTAAGAATTGACAAGACATGGTATTTAATCTAATCTGTAAGGGAAGAAAAATTGTGATATTCCTTTCTTGCAAATTACTTTATCCTGACTATGTAAGGTTAACTGAGCCCAAGGACAGATCCTACTTGCTTAAAGGTCTTTTTAGATATGTACTTCCAATATGGTAGCCACAAATCACATGTAGCATTTTTTTGGTTAATAGCTTTATGGAGTTATCATTCATATAGCATAGGTTTCATCAATGTAAAATGTTAAAAATTAATGGCTTTTAGTATATTCACAGAGTTGTGTACCCACCACCATAATCAATTCTGGAACACTTTCATCACCCCAAAGAGAAACCGTTAACAGTCACTCCTCTCAATCCTCCCAGACTGAGGCAAGGACTATTCTTCTATTTTTATAGATTTGCCTATTATGGACATTTCACATAAATGGGATTTAACTCAGTCCTTTTTATTGCCAAGTAATATTCCAACATTCCATATTATGGATATATCATCTTTTGTTTATCTATTCATCAGTTTATAAACATAAGGTTGTCTCTTTTTGAATTATGAGAATGCTAAAAATAATCTGTGCATAAATTTTTTTTAAAGATTTGAGAGTGTGTGTGTGTGTGAGAGTGGGGGTGGGGCACAGGCAGAGGGAAAGAAGCAGACTCCCCTGAGCATGGAGCCCAAAGCAGGGCTTGATTCTAAGACCTAGAGATCATGACCTGGGCCAAAATCAAGAGTCAGACGCTTGACTTAACAAAACTAAGCCACCCATAAGCCCTATGTGTGCACAAATTTTTGTGTGGACATACGCTTTTTCTTCTCTAAGATGCTGTTTAATTTTAAATTGTAAATTTAATTTTAAAATTCAGTTCCTTGGTTGCACATTTCAAGTGCTCAATAGCTACATGATTACTTTTGGATAGCATAGATATGAAGTATTTCCATCATCACAAAAAGTTTTATTAGAGAGTGTGGTTTTAGACTAGGTAAAACCTGGTGCCAGAAGTATAGCACTACTTAAATGTAGTTACAAATAATAGAAAATGTGCTATGCCAGCTCAGGATTGCGTCTTTTATGAACCATATCTTATGTGTATATATAAATTAGTTCCAGGCTTTATTAGAAAAATGTCGTAACATAAATAAAAAAGTTGAAACTATCACTGTAGGTTCTTCATTTAATAAATTTACGGCATACCTACTACAAACTACATGCTGCTGGTAATGGGAAGACAAAAATGAGTAAGATGGTCCTGCCCACAGAGGACTTGAAGAATAGTGAGGGTTTCACTCTTCCAGTTCTAACTCCTTCTGACTGCCTGGCTAAAACTGGAGATGAAAAGTCAGGAGGTTTTAGTTTTCAACCAAGGAACAGGAGGGTAAAGTCACCCCTCAGAGCACCATAACCACTGTACGTGAAAAACAGGATTCTCCAAAATCTACTGGACCTCAATTCCCAACAGTATAAAAAGACTCAGGAGTTTCCATATGTGCTTCTATCATTAGCAACTGAAAACTGTAATTTCATAATGCAAACTTAAAAAAGATGTGGGATACTTACGTTTTGCCCATAATTTGACTGCTCTCAGGGTGAGTCTAAAAGTTTCTTTATTTGGCACTAAATGCAAAATTTCATCAGTAACTCTACATCCTGAAAAAGATAAAGCATTCATTTATCATTATGCAACAAAATCTAGTTAATTCAGACACACTTCTAATTTCCAGATTCTCAAATGCTAAAACTACCAAAGATAATAAAATGTGGGCTTATTTTCTCTATGTATTTGAAATTTAGCACATATATGAGAAATTACTTTATTTTCAAAGAATTAAAAAGTACATGGCTAATGTAATTCAATATTAAAATAAGAGATGGATCTGAATAAGTTTAGCTTTTTTCACGACTTGTCTTTACTGCTAATCAAATGTCCCCAACTTATAAAACAAAACAATAAAGCAATAACAATTGCTTTAACATACACCTTATTTCACAAACACTGTGATTTACTGTTGTACTCTGAAAGTACAATAAAAATGCAGTGATAAAAGATGCTATGAGCCAGTGTTTTGTTCTCAGAGAGAAGTCTTGGACCCTTGGGAATGCTAGGTTAACCTATTTTTTTTTTTTTTAAGTTTGTCACACCTATTTTTATAATAACAATAAAGCTTTGCCTCTTTACTGTGTTAACATTTGCACTAGTGGTGCAAAAGCAGTGGTAGCTAAACTTACTGGTACCAAAGCTTTAGCAACAAACTGTACTAGTAAATAATTATTTTCACCACCACACATTTTAAGTTAGAAAACAGGAAAGGAACCCATCCAATGTTTGAGCAAGTTAAAGAAAGCTGAACTACCTGTTTTTTTTCAAGGAACACCCGTTTTACTTAGAAGAATCCTAAAAAATGAACAAAGTGAGCCCCTCACTTCAAGGAAAACAAATGACAAAACTTGTTACCAATAATAAAATTTGAGCTTTCAAGTAAAAATTAGAATTTTGGACAACTAGTATCTGCTACTGTGAGACTGACAGCTTTCCAATATTTAAAGACTTTTCTGATGAGACTGGGTGATATTAATGAATGTGATTTTCCTGGATATTTTATAATGAAATGTGTGTTAACATTTTGAAGATCCAAATAACCTTGTGAACCAGTAATTTCCTAATGACCAAGGCATGACAGTACAAAATCATGTATGGGTAAAAGATCTATTCAAAGAACAAGAGACCAATAGATTTTAATGTAAGAGTATAAAAAGTTAATTGATGTGGTTTTAGAGTCGTATTCAAATTAACCTTTAAAAAAACACTTTTACTCACCAATAAAAAGGAACAAACTTCTGATATATGCTACAAACATGGACAGACCTCACAAACACTATGTTAAGTGAAAGAAGCCAGACACAAAATACCACATATTGCATGATCCCATTTACATGAAATGTCCAGAAAAGGCAAATCTATAGACACAAAGTAGAACAGTGGTTGCCTAGGACTTGGGGTTGGAAAGGAGAATGTCTGTAAATGTGTAAGAGGGATCTTTTGAAGATAACAAAAATGTTCTAAAATTGCATTAGAGCGTACAACTCTGGGAATATGGTAAAGACTACAGAATTGTACTAAAAAGAACAAATTTTATGACATGTAATTATACCTCAATAAAGCTGTTGAAAAGAAAAAGGATACTGTCACTGGTCAAATTTTGCTGTATTATCAAAGAATATCCACAATTTTCTGAAAAGGCTATTAAAATTCTCCTCCCTTTTCCAATTATGTATCTTTAAGAGGTCAGATTCTACCTGTGCTTCAATCAAAACATTACAAGAAATTAATTGACTGAAAAGACAGATATGGAAATCTAGCTATCTTCCATTAAGTCAAAGAGTTTTGCAAATATGCCAAAAAAAAAAAAAAAGCCAGTTTCACACAAAAATATACTTATATTCACTTAGAATGGGTTATTTTGAAATAAATGCTTTAAAATTTTATTTTTATTTCTAATATGGTATATATTGACAGATATAACCCACATAAATGGAAGATCTTTGGGGTCTCTCAATAAACTTTTTAGAGTGCAAAGGCATCCTGAGACCATTTAGTCTGCGCACCATCACTATAAACATAAACATTTCAAATAAATGTATGTCTTTTAAAATGCCTAAATGTGCTCAGATTATCTATATAAAGAAAATCACATCATTTTTAACTGAGTTAATCCAATCCCTTAAAAAGTCCATTAATAGTTCTGCAAAAAAGATCTGTCTAATTGTTTTCAAGCAGATATCTGAGATTTCTTTTTAGAAGCTTACCATTTAGGCTGCGAATACACCTTATATCAAGGCTTCTCAGTCGAGAGTCGTCTCTTAGATCTAAATTATCTGATATGGTTTGAATTGCCAGTCTTGCAAAGACTAGATCAATCTTTGGAAAGATGCAAAAAAAGAGAAAAATATTACTTTTTCTCCTTCTAGTCCATTCTCCCCCCCACCCACCCAACCTCAAAAGTATAAAGTTCTAATTATTAGTTTGGGAAGTTCTACCAAAACTTCAAAAAGATTATGTAGGCAATCTCACATGGGAAAATCACTGCAAAGTTGTGTGAGGGTAATTAAAGTCACAAATTAAGGGAAAGCATTTTAATTTTAGCATATATGCCAAGCATTAAAAAGAACATCAAAATCTTATGAATGAATTTCTAGATAAAGATGGCAGATCCAACACACATTTACATTCACTCCCTCTTGAAACCCCACTAAAACACCAGTAAAATTTTTTTTTTTAATTTAATTTTGTTTTCTAAAGGCATAACCCACTAGGATGAAGGGAATAAAAGGAGACAACAGCAAAAACTATGGAAGAAGATGGATAAGTGGTAACAGACTTAGCAGATTTAAGAAAGCAGAGATAAAAAAATATTGTATCCAGGAAAGGATAGGTAGCTATAAATACATACATAAATAGAAAGGAACATTTAGAAAAATAAAAAAGTTATTCTTAGAAATTAAAAATATGACAGCAGAAATGGAAAATAGGAAGCTTGGAAGATGAGAAAACCCCCCAAAGCAGAAATATAGAGATGTGGCTGTCCAATATACAGAAAAAAGAGAAAACAAAGGCAGGAAATCCAATAGAATTCAATACAATTTCCATGACTGAAAGGACAGGAATTTCCAAAGTGGAAGAGGACTACTGAGTGCCTAGCATATTTGGTTGAAAAGACACATACCAAAGTACGTTACCATGAATTTTACAACTATGAAGCCCAGGAATAAAAAGATCATATTAAGTGTCCAAAGAGACGAAACAGGTCACAAAGGATGAGAAATCAATATGGCATCACACTTTTCCACACAGCATGAAAGGTAGAAGACAAGGAAGGCTTTCAAAATTCTGAGATACCTAGAACTCTATACTCAGCCAAACTATTATTTTGGTGTAAGAACAAAATGAAGACATTTTACTTAAACACACAGAATCTCAAAAATATGTGCTCTTTCACAGGAAGCTAGTGGATGAATGACACTAAAATGACAGTAAGTCAAAAAAGAAGAGAACTCTAGACAAAGGCAAAAAGAAATCCCAGGAATCCCAGGATGATAGTAAAGAAAGATCCAGGATGCCAGTAAAGAAAGATCCAGGATGCCAGCTGTTTCTCCTTCATGGAGAACAACTGGTGTGGAATCCAACATGTGAGAAGACTCACATTTTTTTTTTAAGATGAAAATGATGGAACACCTGAGAAATCTATTTAGAGGAGATTCAGACAGCTAGCAGAGACTGACTTTTAATTAGTGTTAAGTATAAAAACCAAACAAAAGGCAAAACAATTAACTCCCAAGAAACAAAATGCCACAAAGAATGATAATCTAGTATACTTTGCGCTCAGTTTCAAACATTATTTATAAGATAATAATGTAAACAGTGAATATTGATCCAATCAAAATTATAACACAATTATTTTAGATTATAGGAACAAGAAGGGTGTCTATAAAAATCATGGGGTAGGGATGGAAGTGGTTCATTTTCCATAGTGAGAAGTCAATAGATACAGGAGAAAAAAAGGTAAGGAACTATTTAAAAACAATTTGATTCCTTAAAATATGTGTCTTTGTTGGTCTGATTTAAAAAAACAAAACAAAACTGAAAAAAACCTTATGTATTAATTCAGTTGCAAAGTCAGAAAAAATATTAAACACTTACTTCAATTCCATCAAATTCAAATTTTATAACAGGTACAAAGGCATCTTCTACAGCCTACAAAAGAGGACAACAATTAAAACACATAAAGAATCCTCTAAAGGTGTAATCCTTTCTCTATCCTTCCTAACTGCCAATGATGTGAATACCTTTGCTAAAAAGTGAAAATGTTCTTGGTATCACATTCCAAGTAAGTAAGTGCTTTTACTCTGTGACTGTGTTATTTCAGATACAGAAAATGTCATGACAGTAATTATCTAATTTATTTATCCTCCTAAAGATACTCATCAGAAACTGGCAGACAGAACTGCTATCATTTGGGTACTCACTATTTGTTGAGATTAAATTGAAAACCGATTATTTACAAAAAACACTAGTGTTGGAAATTAAAATTAATCAGAGCTCATGATTAATCTATTAAAAAATACAATGTAATTTAGAATCAGTAGAAATGTCCTCTTTCTGAGCTTTCTTAATCCCCTAACCTAACAAATTCTTAACCTCCTTCTCCATTCCCAAATGCCCAAATAATGCAGATCCTTTCAACTTACCCTAGCACTTTAGACTGCATTAAAGCTATGTTTGTTTAGTTCCCCTAATCCCTCCCTCCCATAAACTATGTCTTGTTCACTACTGTATTTGTGGGACTAAGGATAGTATCTGACAAATCACTGGTGTTGAAATTTCATTTACTAAATGAATGGCTAGATATGCACACAGAGTGACTAACTGAATCTTACACATACTAACAGCTATCATTTGATATGCATCAACCACTTATCAAATATTAGTCAATGTTGGGGCACCTGGGTGGCTCAGTGGGTTAAGCCTCTGCCTTCGACTCAGGTCATGATCTCAGGGTCCTGGGATCGAGTCCCACATCGGGCTCTCCGCTCAGCGGAGAACCTGCTTCCTCCTCTATCTCTCTCTCTGCCTGCCTCTCTGCCTACTTGTGATCTCTCTCTGTGAAATAAATGAATAAAATCTTAAAAAAAAAAAAATTAGTCAATGTTAATGTCAATTATCTCACTGATCCTCAGAAAAACCTTTAAAAAAGTTTTCTCTATATCTCCATCTTACAGCTTTGAGGAAACTAGGCTCAAAGAACACAGGTAACTTACAATCTAAGAGCTAATATGTCATAGATTCTAGATTCAAACCCAGGTCTGTATTAACTATAAAGTCCATGTTCTTAACCCTCTGTTATTTTAAAAAGATATAGCAACTTCTTAAGTATTTCAACAATCATAAGCCCAAGTTTTTGTTAACGAGTTCAAAATATTAAATACCAGAGGATACTTACTCTTAAGTTTCTAATGCCATCTTGATGTTTCAGTTTTTCAAAAAAAGACTGAAAAAAATCAGATCTCTCCACATGTCTTGGAGCTACACAAAGTGCATCAATGTCAGCTCCTGCAAATCAAAGTATTTCTAATTAAGACTATATTAAGTATGCATTATATTTTTGTTAAAACATATAAAAACATTATGTTCAGAAGAAAATATGTAAGATGAATACAGGAAAATGTTAACAATGATTAGCTCTGAGTAGTGAGATAATGGGTTTTTCTTCTGTACTTCTAATTACGAATAACAAGTAAGAGTTTGTTACTGAAAGTTTTTATCAGAACACAGAAAAGCAGTTACCTTTGGTGTGTACTCCAAGCCTATAGGAGCCAAACGTGAAAATTTTACCACCAACAGTAGCCACAACAGAAGGTGGGAGATTCTAAAATTAAATTAAATTAAATTAAACAAATGGCATTTGATTATTGATATTATTTAGCATAAAAATTGCCTAAATACTACCAATATATAATATATTTGTCAACTTTGGGAAATTGAGATTTCTGAAAGTACTTCAGAGCTCTTTGGGCTGCAGCTTGAAGTAATGAGAGTATTCCCAGAGGGAAGACAAAACAAATTCATACCTACTATACATGCATACCTCTCTCATAAGAAAACCATTTTTTATCACTTGATCCTACTTGTCCCCTTCCAATTGCCTGTCTTTGACTCCATCCTTCTGAAGTCACCAAGGAACTCTTAACTACCAAACTAATGCACTTTCAGTTCTCTATAGTATCATACACTTAACTCATTCCACTTCCCCATTAGTTTCTGGGAAAAATACGCTTAATTTCTTGATTGAATTTATGCAACCTTTCTGCAAGAAAGTGGTCATCTTGAAAAGACCTCCTTATATGAGGTAATTTAACATCTTTAATGAAATTTTTTGGACTGTACCAGAACTATAAGGCTACTCTTCACCTTTCTCTGGAGCCAATTCTAACTTCCCGTCAGGTACTTTCTACTCATACATCCTGATCCACTTCAATATCCTGCTTAAAACAAAATATTCTTCCTATGATAAACCAGATATCCCTTCTGATTTCTCTCTTTCTGTTCCTCATTTTCCTTAATACCTGTACCTATAGTCATTATTCTTCTTGGCTTACCAATTCTTAGCTTATATCCCTACATGTCACCTCCTTTTTATTCAACTACTGTGCCCTTAATTCTAGGCTTTAACAGAATCTTAAGCTACCTTCTTGACCTCATTTATTTTCTCCTATTCCATTTTTCAGAAAATTCACTTGTTGTTCTTACTCTATTATATAACTCTTCTGCTCAAACATTGCTAATGAATTCTTCTCTGACTACTGAGGTAAGGATCCTTGGATCCTGAGAATCTCCACAATGTACTCTTACGGGATCTTTGTTGCCTTGTCTCCTGATACTCCCTTTTGAATGTCCAACTGCCGACATGTTACATAATCCAGTATCCTTTCCACCGCACTTGCCATTCTCCCCACCTCAAATGCTTGCCCATCTTCTCTGGGTATCTCAACACCATCTGTTTTTTCAAAGTTCAAGTTCTACCTTTTTCATGAAGCCTTCTCTGATGACCCACCCCTTCTTTAAGAAGCTCTTTTCCTTCTGTGCTCCTTCACTATTATCTTTAAATTTTTATTTAAAATTTAAAATTTTATTTATTTAAAATTTATTTAAAATTTTATTTAAAATTTATTACTGACCTTTTCCCCCTGAATACATGTTCCATCCTCTCAACTACATTTAAACTCATTGAAAATAAGAACTGTATCTACTATCTCTCTTATTTTTTTATAATTCCCAGTGCAAGCTTCAAAGAATAATATCCCTTAATTAACTTAATAAAACTATCTATGTAACAGGATATTATATTTGTTACTTCCTCTGTTGAATGGATATTAATGTTTATGACTACCATACATGATTTCAGAACTAGAAAGAAGTCAGTAAATTTATTAATATGAATCAAAAGGATAGAGAAGATAGGACCTTTTGGTTTACCTTCCTACTTTCTATCTTAGTTTACTTTCCTACTTTGAAAAGCAAGATTCTTGCATAATTAATGAGAAAGTGGTACACCAATCAAAGTAAAATATTTTTACCACAAACCAGTATTTAACTAAAATGATCTGTTTGAGTTCTAGATGGCTTATAGCTTAAATATCCCAATTGTACGTGGAACAGTCAAATGATCTTTGCTCTAACTCAAACCCTTCTGATATTTTCTGAACTAAAATATGCACAAATCAAAGGAATAGTTGATACAGAAAATGAAAAAAAAAAATCACTTTATCCACAGTGGAAGATGTAAAAAACAATTTTAAAAAATTTTTAATGAGATATTTTATTCACTTTGCTTAAAAAGAAAATCCAAATTATGGGGAAGTCTTAAATTTTTATGCCTAGAAACTAAATGTAAACCAGCAATTGCTTTCTGCAGATTAAAGTATTAATATGAGTAAAATGGGAGAAAAAGCAATTTAATAAAAACAAAAAACAAACAAAAAAACCGCCTTTTGACCTTGAAAAAGAATATTACCAGATTTTTCTGTTAAGTGTGAAAAAATCCTGAATAAAATTAGTTAGGTACATCTCTCAACAAATTAATATAGTCTCTTTTGTGAAAGATAATACTTCATTTATTTCAAATGCATTCTAGAATAGGGATGGAAGCAAAGACCGTGCTACAACCACAATAGTTGACATAAAGACCACACAAAGTCATAAAGCTTATGATTTTAAAATAATTCTAGCAATTTGAGTATTTGGTTTGCACACCTATAGTATTTATGGGCTGATCAGAGAGGGACAACAGATTTCTTTAACATTTATTTAATGCCTGAGCTCTGTCCTGAGATTATGTAGGTGACCAAGACAGGTTTTTTTCTTATGGAGCTGATTACCTAGTAGCAGAAAAACAAACATGAATTTTTTTTTGTTTCTCATGACTAGCATTTCACCTGCTCAGAATTCAACTTATCTGAAAATCTCAACTACTGATAACCCTGCTGAGAGTTCAGAAATGAGTCAGAGAGCTGTTTGGCAGCAAAAGTAAACAACATAAAGACCATTTATTTAAACCTGATGACTGCAGACTTAGCAGAGTCCCTCATGACCTTATTCTGTTGAAAAGAACCAATTTTAAACATGTGCCATAGGCACAGAAAGAAATACTATAATTTGCAAAAGAAAGAATTCTAACAGGTGTTTATCTAATTTCTAAATCCAGGCAGATTAAGGAGCAGAGAGTTTACAGAGAGACACATTGACTGCTGTGATATATTAACTTTCAGCTAACTGTTAAGGGAAAAAGATGGGAAAACTATAAAAATTATAAAAAGCAAACAAAACTTAAAATACAACAGTTTGGGTCACTCAGTGAAGGGGCAAATGGTATCACCCAGTTGCATACACCCTACTTTGATTAAGTACAGCCACTAAAATAATATTCAGTGATGATTCCCAAACATATGAAAATTCAATTACATCCAAAATACTCTTAAGAAAGCAAGAAATATGTAACCTGTTTTAGAAGAAAAATACGCTACTGGAGGGAAAAAAGGTCACATAATTATAAATTAGGATTTGCAAACTCCTATATCTCAGGGGTCAGGTAGGTATGCAAATGGAGGGTACACATAAGAAAACCAGAAACTGACTGATAAATGACAGGTGCTATGTCAGAGAGAGCAAGATGGTGGGGCCACAAGGGACTGGAGGGCAGAAGCCCAATTCCATTCAAGCCTATTCCTGCCTTGCACAAGGCAGGCCCAGTGTTGCCAGATCTGGTATTTCACAAGATGTCTGAAACCTGGCTTTTAAAGTAAAATCCCTTGATATTTAAATTTTGGTACACCACATGTAATTCAAGCAGGAAATCTATGTAGGATTGTAGCTAGACACTGGGGTAAATTCTCATTTATTTATCTCATTATCATTATTTAGAGACTCAATTGTCTAGACCAATTCTTTACCAAGTATACCAAAAAGTCTATTTCAGATTATTCTCAACTCCTGCATTTTATTACTAGGACTAATGATCAGGACATAATGAAACTGAATCCAATGAGTTTAGAGTCTTACCTTACTCTCACTGACATCAGAAATCCATTCTTTTACTAAATTGTTCAATTTACCAAGAACAACAAGCCTATAATAAAAAAATAACGTGCTTTAGATCAAAACTAAGAAAACCCAAAAACAATATTTAAAAAAGTAATTAAACTGTAGGCAGAATCTTTATGTTGGCGCCAGAGTAAAAGCACATTATAAATAGGCTAATGCTGTCACATCTGTCAATACCGGCACATCTCTTTGATGCTGTTAGGTCCCCAAGAGTTCCAAAGTATTGACGATTGTGATAGTATGTGGGTTTTTGAGCTACCCTGAAAATTCAAGAAGCTTAATAAAAAATCAAAATTACCTTCAGTAAGTCTGCGGAGGCCAACTGAATTGTCAACTTTCTTGCCCTTACTATGGAATAAAATAAACTCAATGTGGTGATAGAGGTTAGCATTCTCCCATCTACAGTCAGAGATCTTTGGATAATTAAAACAGGTAAATTTAGTATTGGCTAATTTTTAAAAAAAGATTTTATTTGTTTATTTAAGAGAGAGAAAGAGCAAGAATAGAGGGAGGGGTAGAAGGAGAGGGAGAAGCAGACTCCCTGCTGAGCAGGGAGCCTGATGTAGGACTGGATCCCAGGACCCTGGGATCATGACCTGAGCCAAAGGCAGACGCTTAATGGACTAAGCCACCCAGGCTTCAAATATTGACTAATTTTTAAGAAATAATATTACTTGGGTGCCTGGGTGGCTCAGTGGTCCTGGGATCGAGCCTTGCATCGGGCCTCTCTGCTCAGCAGGGAGCCTGCTTCCCCCGCTCTCTCTCTGCTTGCCTCTCTGCCTACTTGTGATCTATCAAATGAATAAATAAAATCTTAAAAAGAAAAATATTACTTAAAAACAGCAGTTTGATATTAAACCAAACTTTCAACCAATAGTATATCTAAATCCACATTAAAAAAAAGAAGAGAGAAGAAAAGTAGAGTTTAGACATCTCAAGGATAACATATGAAAAATGGAATTCCTGAGATGTCCAAACTTGCTTCTCCCTCAGCCTTCTCCGGGTAATGGAACTCTATCCTTTGAGGTGCTAAGACCCAAAACCTAGGCATCATCCTTAACCTCTGTCTCTCACATATATTCCTGTCATTAAACAACCTTACCTTACCTTTAAAATATATCCAGAATTCTACTTCTTATCACCTCCACTAATATCCCCCTTAGTTTAACCCTCCATCTTTCCTTCTTGGGTTCTTATCATAGCCTCCTAACCAGTCTCCTGACTTGTGCCCTTGATCCCTCTTCAGGCTATTCTCAATTTAGCAGCCAGAGTGACTGCATTAAAACATGAGTAAATCATGTTAATATTCTGCTCAAAAACCTAATGGCTTCTGATTTCACTCAGACTAAAAGCCAAAACTTTTACAGCAACTTACAAGGTCCTAAGTGACCTAGCTCTCCCTCCAAGCAACTTCCCACCTCAAGTTCTTTGAGCCTACATTCACCCGTTTACTTACTTTGCTCTGGATACCCAGGTTACTTTACTATTTAATTCTTTACATATAGCAGGTACACTCCCGCCTCTAATCTTCTGCTAGAGTGCTCTTCCCTCAGATATCTATATAGTTCCCTCTCTCACTTTGAAACTTTCCCCTACATGTCAATAAGGCCTTCCAGAAAACCTCCACTTCCAGCTTCATTTTTCTCAGCAGCGTATGTCATCTGTAACATTCTGTTTATTTTATTTATCTGGCTTATTGTCAGTCTTTTCCCCTAACCTCCACCTAAAATATAAGCTCTAAGTGGGCCAAAATTTCTCTTCATTTTGTCATTTTTTGCATCCCTAGGCAGGGGCATGGGAGGTACTTTACATTTGCAGAATTAATGATTAAATAACGTACTATAAAATATTTTGCATTTTTAAATGACATACCTGTGGTTCAATTCTTCCTCATCTTCAAACACTCCAAATGGTTTCATAGCATCAATTAATTTCTGTGTGTAAATATGATCAATTTCTTTAGGACATGCCAAACTAATTGGAGAAGTGATTCCATAATGCTTTTGTTGACGCTGGCTGTCCAGCATGGTGTTTCTGTTCAAGAAAAATGAAACAGCAGAAAAAAATTTAAAGTATCATATCATACTGATATAGTTAATCTCTCAATACACTCACTAATTTAGCTACCTTAAAAGTTTACTTAGTATTAACAGTTGCAGCAGGCGCTTTTTTTTTTTTTTAAGGGGAAAAAAGGGTATTTTGTGTTTATTTTGATGAAGGGCTATTCATACTGCCTCCAGCTTTCATGGTTAGGATGTCTTTTCAAGCCAAAAGCAGCATGTGTTGGCATCAGGACAACTGTGCCAGCACCACTTAGCTCAAATGCAAAAAGCCTGAATGGGAGCTGGGCCAGGGCCACCTCCACTACACCCTGTGGACTTAAGTCAAGTACCATCTATATTCAATCTTTGAAAAGCAGTCAGCCACTTGAAAGAAAGCTCTGAGTAAGAACAATGTTCTTTCCCCCTCAGGAAAGAAACAAAAACATCCCATTAGAAGGTCCTTGTAAAATATCCTGGCTTTTAAAAAGAAATCACGACTCTATTTGTCCTTGAGAAACTTATATTAACATCCTTTGCTCAAATCAGAATTTATAGTCCTAACATTTTGTGACTCTAGTTAATTGTCCTCTTCTGAGATTGGTACTCAGACCATTTTCACACGAAATAACTACGAAATTCTTTACACTTTTATCGGCACAATACAAGCCAACCTCCAAAAGATTCTAGCTATCAGAAAATTATAGTCTTGAATAAAGTACAATTGATTTCAGTAATTTCAAAATAAATTTGGGACCAACATGGGTTGGTGAAACTTTTTATTTTGCTAAGAAAGTAAAGTAAAAATAAACATACGCAATAACCAACTAAACCTACCACCTATCTTCACCATTCGATGTTGAGGACCATTAACAACGGTAAGAATGTAATCTCAAAATATAAAAGAAGTCTTTTAAATGAATAAATTAGCTCTGTAAACAGTAACACACAAAAATACAGTAGTGATTGTTTTTTAATTTTTAACTGGTCAAAAATCTTATTGCTACAAAGTTCTTAGGCATGCTCTTTAGCTAAAGATTTCATTAGGTAAGGAGGGAGAATCAAATGGAAGATAAAATAACCTATATATCCTCTGAAAGGATTCAAAGAAACAAAAGGGAAACACCAATACCAGTGACTTCAATTTCTTTCTGGTATTAATCTTCCTGTGGAACAAACAAAATTTCAATTAGCTATTGCAAGTAACTTTTTAAAGATTTAGCTTTTTGCCTCTAAGAGAGCTATTTTAGTATTGTCTGTGTGTGTTTAAATATGTATGGTAAATGGATGGGACAGACTGATTATAAGTGCCATTTTACAGGTAAGCACCCAAGATCCAAGAGATAGGAAGAGCCAAAATCTGAACTCCAAAACCCAAGATCTTTCTACCACTCCATTCTCCCTTCAACAAATACGTCTGTTCTGCTACTATGATCTTGGGTCCCCCTTTCTTATCTATGTGATGAAAAAATTGGCTATCAAGCTTCCTACCCTACCAGTACTAGATAGCACATAAATTCCAAATCTATAGTTCTGAACCTCCCATATCTGGAGGGGAATAGGAGGGAAAGCCAACCAAAAGAATCCCACATTCCCTTCAACTCATCGATTTCACTTGTAAGTAAACACCCTAGAGAAATTCTAGTACAAGTGTACAAGGAAACATTTACAAGATTGTTCACTGCCACACTGTAACAGTAAACACTCAGAAACAACCTCAAACAGTCATTAACAGAAAAGGGACTAAGCGAAGGTGTATCCCTACAATGGAATACAATACTGTCGTTAAGATGAATTAATGAGAGTTGAAAATATTAACACGGACAAAGTTCAAAGATATTATGTTGCACTATAGAAGTTGCAAAATGACAAGTATGATACCAGCTATAAAAAGCTTAAAAACAAGTAAAACAATGCCATTATTATGGACACTTACATATGTTGTAATAGCATTTTTAAAAAAGCAGTAATAAACATCAAGTTCAAGACTGTGTGGAACTCTGGGAAGAGAGGTAAATGGAATAGCAGGAGGTAAGAGAATCCTTAAGACGTATCTGTAATGCTTGATTTCTTTTAAATAAAGATATGTATGTACACACACACCCCACACACATAAAGAATTCTATGCTTTGGGAGAGATGAATGGTGGCTACACAAATGATGCTTATGTTATTCTCTGCATTTTTCTGTTTAAATTAAATTATTTCCTAATAAACCAAAATATTAGGAGCTACAACAAAATCCTGCCAAACACGGAAACCGTTTCTGACTTATCAAAGTGTGAGCAGGAGGTATAGACCGGTAGATATACGATGGGTCGGTGGGGGAAGCTTGGGAGGGCGAAAAGATCCTAGCTTTTTATTAAAAAGAAACGCATGAGCTGGGATAGGTCATTCACTCCTGAAGACCAGGAGACAGCCGGTCGGGAGGGAGGAGGGGGAGGTAGGGGGATGGTATTTGCGCCAATGCAGACAGGAGCAGAGACGGGCTCAGACAGTGCTGGGGGCAGGAGAGTGACCGACAATTTCTCCCCACGGACACCCGCGTCTCTCCAGCCGCTCCCCTGTCTGGGGGCGTCATCCGAGGTGGGACAGGAGAAGGCAGATGGGGACTCCAGGAGTCCCCGAGTCTGTGCAGAGGTGGCCAGGTGAGCTGCCGGGTGTAGGGGAGGTGCCCTTGCCGACCGGCCAGAAGCGGGGAAGGAGACCACTCGGGCGAGCTCCGGGCAGGGCGCGAGGGGAGGGAACGGACACCGGGTCCCGGGCCGACCACCCCAACCCACCCCTCTCCGCTTCGCCCCCAACCGCCGTCCCCCACCACTTACGCAGACATCTCTTTCATCGCTTCCTGCGTCTCCCACACCGGCGAGTATCTTTCTCTCTGGAGCCAAGTTCTTGCTCTTCCCTTCTCCTCTTGTCGACTTTCCCCCGGTCGCTTGTAGCTCGCTTGCTCGCTCACTTTCTCACTTACTACGGCCGAGGCATCCAACCGAGTAGTGAAAACACCACAAAACCGGCTCTATTTATGACAATACAGCGCGGCCGACGCCAATATGGCGCCGCTTCCCAGCCTGCCCCTCGCCCACTGCGGCCCCGCCCCTGGAGGCCTGGACCCGCCCTCGACCCCGCCCCCTCCTCCTTTGGGTCCCGGGAGGCTTCGGTGGCCCCGCCCACAGGGGGCGCGAGCTCTGGCTGCAAACGCCGGTAGAAAGGGAGCGTTTCGTCCCCTCCTTTGTCCGTGGGACTGTCAATCCAAGCAAACCGCTTGGAATGTGATTAGGAACATATTTTCCTTGTTTCACTAATGAAAGACTATGTTTTTAAAAAGATCACAACCTTGCCTAGCAAATACTAGTTTAACTCTTCCGTTATCTTTCACCTTTAATTAGTCATAATCATACGTAATCAATCAACTCGTGGAGATTTTGTCGTGATAGGGTCACACCAAGGAACGTGTGACTTTACAATCATCCCAGGGAAAACCAAGCTTGTAAATGGGAGGCTAATCTGTTCACTTCATCTCTACCTCCTCCTGATTTATGACATTCAGGCAGTTGAGGTGGGGGTTGAAAGGACAATCGCTAGCAGTTTACGATAGGAGGATTAATCCAAGAAATAATTTAATATACTAAATCATTACAAAGAAAAGGATGTCAAGAAGCTGCTTTTTTCTCGGAATGTGACTAAGAGCCATAGAGGCGATTACTTATAAAATTATTCATTCATTCATTCAAAAATATTTATTGAAAACCAAGCGTTATTAGGCACCAGTGGTTTAATGGTGTCTAAAACCAGATGTAATCTTTAACCTTATGAAGTTTGGAATTTAGTGAGGAAACAATCAAATATAAATGATATTCTTCTGTTGTAGAACTAAAAATACCTACTGTGTGTCCGGCACTAGGGATACTTAATTCCTGCCCTTCACAGTTCACAGTCTAGTGGAGGAGGACAAACATACACAGAGATCATTGAAATACAGTTGGGGCCAAGAGATTTGGGGAAGCTTAAAGAGGGCCACCTATTGGAAGCTGAATCTGAAGACTTGATTAGACTCAGGCTAAACACTGCATCACACCAAGAGTCACGTTATGAACCTCTGGTAATCTCATCATTGGTGATAGATTGACCACAGGGTTTATGTGCTGATAGTCATCTTGGAACTACATAGTAATCCGTGGGGTGATAACTTTGACACTAGGTGAATATCCAGATGTCCATCCACCATTCACCTAATGGTTTCATCATCTGTTGATAATATTGCCTTAATTATTTCCTTAGGGGTTGCAAATTGTGAGTTTCCAATTCTGTCTACATTTATAGGGGGCATTTTTCTGGAAAGAAGAGCTTTTCCTCATCGACTAGGACTATAAGGTTATTCTGCAATATGATTCCTAATGCAAAGGAAAAATAGTCCTTTCCCTTCCAGAGTTAAGAACTTGGTATAATGGCCACCTCCAAAGAAGTCCTTATTTGTTTGCTTGCTTATTTTATTCCTTTTTTGTTGTTGTTGTTTAATGGCCACCTTCAAAGAAGTTCTTATTTATTTGCTTCTTTATTTTATTCCTTTTTCTAATATGTTAGCATGTTTCAATCAATTACAGTCATGGTTTTTTTGATGCTAAAATTGGCCCAACTTTGCTCTTTGGGTTCCTCTGTCAAGCTGGTTCCTTGGCTAGTATTTAAAAAAATTTTTTGTTTAAATCAGTATGATAGGTTGGAAAGTGGTATTTCTTTGTGGTTTCACATATCCCTGATCAGTAGTATATCACTAGCCATTTATATTTCTTACTCAGGGAATTCAAATGTTTTGTCCATTTCCCTTGTAGCATAACTGTCTTTACACCAATAATCCAGACTCACCCCTACAAATGAAATATTCTCGTGACTTATTGCTGGTCTCTTTCAGCTGCAACCTCCCTTTGCTTGAGTTTTTCCTTCTGATCATCTCTTGCTCTAGAATGAGCTTAAAATAGCTTATTCAGAAAAGAGGTGCATTTTCCTAGTTCTGGTATATTTGAAAACATGTCCTTCAAAGCTTGGTAAATGGTGCTTTATTGGTACCTGGTGAGTCTTAAACACTTGTAAAATTCTTATTTTTGAAGTTTAAAAATTCTGTTCAGATAGGCCTTTGTATGATTGTCTTTTCCCTAAAATGTGTCTCGAACATAATAAACATCAAATTTTTTGAGTACTTTTAAAAAGATCAGATTAAGTCCTTTTTTTTTTTTTTACTTTAAAAATTGCTTCTGTTCCATCCATCAGTCAGCTCTTTTGTTTGTTTGTTCAGGTAAACAGAATTGCAACTTGGGAGAATGTTAACATGTTCATGCAAGTAATTCAGGGGAAAAATCTTTAAAAATTATTATTTTAGCTTTTTTTTTTTTTTTTTTTTTTTTTTATTAAATTTTTTTTAAGATTTTTTTTTTATTTATTTATTTTGACAGAGATCACAAGTAGGCAGAGAGTCAGGCAGAGAGAGAGAGGAGGAGGAAGCAGGCTCCCTGCAGAGTAGAAAGCCCGATGTGGGGCTCGATCCCAGGACCCTGGGATCATGACCTGAGCCGAAGGCAGAGGCTTAACCCACTGAGCCACCCAGGCGCCCCAAAAATTATTATTTTAGCTTTTTAAACATCTATTGGGCTGCCTGTAGAACAAGTAGGGCATATCTGTCTTCCTCACCAGCTCTTCCTCAGAACTTGTGTTTAATAAAGATTTGTTGAGGGAATTGATTTCCAGTATTATTTTCCCTTATGTCTTTATTCATCTCATCATCTCTTCATCTTTTTGTCCCAATTGGTAGACAATCTCCACTTTGCCTTCTGCCTCTAAGTTAATATTCTGACGTGTCTGAATGTTATTTAAGTATTCTGTTGGAACTCTTTCATCTCTGAACCACCTTTATTAACTCAAAGCATTTCCTTTATCTGGCAGATGGTTGTAGCAGAGTATTGTTCACACTGGTCATCGGCAGGTTATGACTAATACCTATTAAAATATGACTTAAAGAGTATGGTACTTCAGGTAGGATCATCCAAAAATGACCTTGGGGACTGAGGCTGGGGATGCCCATGTATTGTGCCGGAAAGAATTAGGGTTTACCCTTCTACCAGCAGGAGCAGCTGTGCCCACACTCAGCTTCCCAGGAGGGCTTTTACCCCTTGCAAAAGGGGCTACAACTTCTTAAGGGCTCCTGAGATCCCCAGATGTTGGGCAGCTAGCCCCTAACCTCAGTTACCCTGGCTCTGAATTCTGACGAGGCTGCTTTCTCACAAGTTCACTCTAAGAAGATACCATCTTGGGGGACATATTCTTCCATCAGAACACCCATAGCGCCTAGCCATGGCATCCCTCTCTCTGGGATGTTTGGAAAACCCTAGACTATGTTATCTTCTCTTTCTGACTCTTGGCTTGTAATTTCCCCCATTAAGGCCTGTTCCTTAACTTAAGCTGAATGACCATGTGGAATTCACCCTAAGCCCTGTCGTGTGGTAGGTAGTGACCACGCAGAGACTCCTACCCACGTTGAACAACAAAAATAAAGTAGGTGGTTGAATTTGTTATCAATGAATTCATGTGGAGTCCTGCTCAGTTGATTTTGAACAAATAGGAGTTGGAAGTTGTCAGAAATTGACATGCGTCATGTTACAAAGTGCCTTTTTGATTCCACTCCCCACCCTGACCTCCAATTCCAGAGATGGAGCCTTCAGGAGGTAATTAGATCGCAAGAGTAGAGCCTTCATGATGAGACTAGTGCTGTTAAAACTGGACAGGAGAGTGCTTGCTTCTGTCTTTGGTCCCTGCAATATAAGGTTACAGTGAGAAGACAGCCATCTGTAAAACCAGGAAGAGGGCTCTTATCAGACACTGAATCTGCCACTACCTTAATCTTGTACTTCCCAGATTCCAGAATTGTGAGATACAAATATCTGTGTTTTAAGCCTCCCAGTGTATGGTCTTGTTACAGCAGACCAAACTGATTAAGACAGATCCCAACCAAATTTTTAATAGTGGGACATCAGATCCTGATAAAGAGGAAAGAAGCTGGCAGTAATGATATCTCAAAAATGTAGAAACATTTTGTTATAGAATTGTGCGGGGGGTGGCAGAGAAGAATGGGGGAGGTAGTCCTAGTGAAGCTTCATCTCTACCACCGTGTGCAAGTTCTTTGGGAAAAGGACCTTACTCTTTAAGGTCTTGTGCTTGGATAGCTAATTGATGCCCTGTTGGGGCCTCAGCCCATCACTGAGGGTGTCTCAGAGGGACGGGCACCCAAGCATTGCCCTTTCTAACAGACCTCTCAAACTGCTTTGCTTTCAGCCTTCTGTCACAGAGTGACCTCTACTACTGCACGTTAGGGGTGTCAGAGGGCATCTTCTAGCATCTGCTTACAACCATAATTTGTTGCCTGCTTGTAGAAGAAAGATTGCTTTCTGTGGTTCCACTTTATTTTGCTACTAGTGTAAGTCCTCAGTGTTTTTAATGTGAAATATCTATTGCCAGTGCAGATATTTTGTTTGTACAATTTTTAAAGGAGATTTTATTCATTTATTTGACAGAGGGAGAGAGACCACAAACAGGGAGAACAACAGGCAGAGGGTGAGGGAGAAGCAGGCTCCCCACAGAGCAGGGAGCCCAATGCGGGGCTCAATCCCAGGACCCCGGGATCATGACCTGAGCGGAAGGCAGACGCTTAACCAACTGAGCCACCCTGGCACCTCTTGTTTGTACAATTTATTTTTTTTAATATGAATTTGATCCAAAGACAAGACAAGGCAGGTGCATATTCGTTTCTCTGTATCTAGAATAATATGTAAAGTCCTGGATATGCTTTAAGCAATTCAAGAGTCCATTGATTAGATGAGTTTGCTCTGGAGAGCAATTCCAATTCCAAGTATCTGGATTTTCATGGTTTATGTTTGTGGGGTGAGGCCCCCTGTGTCTCCAAGTTTTTTCTTGCATTTTAAAACCTGTTAGCTTCATTGGAAGAGCCTAAACTCTATGGGCTTAGGAGCGGCAAACCAAGCAAGGTAGCAATCAACAGCTTTCCTGGGTTGCGGCTTAACT